CTGGCTTGCAGATGAACCAGTGTAAGTGTAGTGGTTAACCGACAGCTGCTGAGATGTGCAGAGATGTTAAAGTCCTGAGTGAAATGGAATCTTAAACTACTGTTGTGCTAGCTCAATTAGAAAGACTTTCAAAAGTAATTTAATTCAAAATGATGACAGAATCAGGTTTCTATCCACATAAACCCCATTTCTGACATTTTAAAAACTTTTGTTTCAATTATAAAACCGTTAACAAAGGCATTTGAATGCATTGAGCTATGTGCATATGTTAGATTTAAGCCCATTTTTATGGGACTCGAAAGTACTCCTTCAGCTTGTCAATTTTATCCACATTTACGCAATACAGAAGTTATTTTTACGTCATTTTAAGTGATGTAAAAGAGTAATTGTATATGAAAGTTGCTTTCTTTTCTTTTGCCCATAATAGAGTGTGTACATGATGGCAAGGTAACAAGGGGATGGCAGTCCAAACTCTCATGATTGCTAGAACATTCCTTTAGTATTTCAGGGGAAAAAATCGCTTACTATTCCCTGTTGGACATTTTCATAGTGTATAGCCTGTGCGTCAACACCACCCGTTTACGCAGCAACTCCAAACTTCTAGGGACTCAGAAATAGGAAGGCATGTGGCCTGTTCTTCGTAGGCTGCCCTGGCCCATGTTAACTAGTTTAAGGGAGATGAAATTAGGGATGTTTGTTTTTGTAAAAAAAAATAAATACATATATATATGTATATATATACACATATAAATCCATGCATAGTCTTTTCATAATCTGCATTTTCTGTTGTGCAAAATTCCCAAAATAACTTCTATATATCAGAGATATCCTATACGAAGCTATAGGCAAATCCTATAAATGTTATAAATGCCAGATGTAACTTGAGGTTTTATGCAGAAGTGAGTTTTATGTTTGTTTTAGAAAACCAATGAATAAAACCACCAGAGATCCCATTCAGAAAGCTGGTGTTGGAGGAAGCTAGGCCGTGTTTCACATACGGCAGTTTTAGCTGGGCCGAAAAGAGGCGGAAGCAATGCACTCTGGGTAAGTGCAGGCTTGCTGAGTGTGTTCCAAACTGTCCCTGCTCTCCAAGCAGCAGGCAGAAAAGGGGAGCCACCGAAACAGCAGTGAGTCAAATTGCTCCTTAAGCAGACATTGCTAATACCATCCTTAACAAAAACCTTCAACTTTCATCGCTGAACAGAGTAATCCTAAAACACAGTATCAGGACATCCGAGGGCCTGGTGTCTCTAGTTAGAAAAAAAAAAAATCATACAGTGTAACAACTGATGGAAGAGTTTGACATTCAATGACAACTTCCTCCATTGGCTGGTAAAAGCTTGACCCGGAAGTAGTTGAATGACCTTCCAGACTCCTACAGCTAGAGAGAGGCAATAATAAAGCTAGGACTAGAATGAAATGTCACCCAATTTTCCCACCTCACTCACAACTGCCTTTCCTCATCTCCAGGATAGCCCCAGGCTGGGTCGCTGTTTCCCCATGAACTTATAAATGTCCCTGCTGAATAATCCCTGTCCTGGTTTGCAGGGTCGGGGACCTGGCAAATGTCAGACAAAGCTGTGAGGAGTCGATGGGCAAGACTTGGAGGTGATGAACGCATATACGGCCCAAAGAGAAAAGCAAGAGAAAGGAGAGGAAAAGGGGATATGTGGAGAAGGACGGGAATAAGAAAACATCAGAAAAATGAGTTAAAATGTCCCAAATACAAGTCTCTGAGATGCGTTAGCATCCTAAGTTGACCCTCCCATATTCCATCTGTGTGGCACAAGCCCATGTCTCACTGAGATTTCTAAGAGCTTTAATTAGCGACGAAACCACAAGTAAATTGTGGAAACTACAATTATAGGATAGTCAATACAGTGGTTGTGTTTAAACAACCTGTTCCAAGCCTAAGAAGTTTGTATATAACTGGCTGAGTGTCCGTGGACCTCCCTCAGGCACTGACAAGGCCAGAAAATACAGAAGGCTGCGTCCTCAGACTGTTCCCCTACGTTAGCGTGTATGACTTACGTAACAAACCCTGCATGCCACAGACGCCTGCCTGTTTCCATTCCTGCCCCAGGCTCCTTCTCCTCCCTGCCCCCCTAGACTTTTGCAAAAATATCCTTCTAGGAGGCCTGGCATGATGGTTCAATTGGCTAATCCTCCCCTTGCAAGTGACAGGATCCCATATGGATGCTGGTTCGTGTCCCGGCTGCCCCACTTCCTATCCTGCTCCCTGCACGTGGCCTGGGAAAGCAGACAAGGACGGCCAGAGCCTTGGGACCCTGCACCTGCTGGGCATCACAAGAACTTGCTGGCCTCTGCAGCACGTGCATTACGCAGATGCCGCCAGAGGAGGGCGCTGTAGTCACCCGGCAGCTTTTCTCTCTGGACTGTCAGGGTTCTCCAATGGAGCAACCTTGCTTTTGTTGTTTTCCTTTGAATCGCGGGTTCCCTGGAGCGCTGAGCGCATCCCCAGCAGTGCTGTATTCTGCCCTGTGGTGTGCAGCGTACCTTAGAGCTTAGGTAAAGAGGAGATTCACTTCACTGTTGTCCGTCCATATCCAGGACAATCCGAACCAGTCTGAGAGTGTCCGCCATCCTTGTTCCACATCCCCCTACATTAGGAATACAGTGTGTCTAATTGCAACCTGGTTTATTTCATATTTTCACCAGCCTCCATGCAAAAACTCGGGTAAACGTCCCAGCACTGTGGGCGTCTCAGTCCTTCTCAGAGGTCTGATTTAATCTCCATCCTTCAGCACTGGGTTCTGCAGCGAGGATGGTTTCCGACTTGAACTTCAAACCTGTCCTGGGACTGAAGAGATGACCCCTGTGACTCTGAGGGTGAAGTCTGCATGATGTTGGAGCAGTGGCAGAAGAACGCAGGCAGCATTCCTGGGGGCCTGTGGGCACCGATAACGTGGGCTGAGAGGGCACTCGGAAGCGTGAGGCTGCCAGACCCCCAGCTCCTCACTGCACCTGCTGGGAAATGACCAAGTGGACAAAGTTTCAAGGTCAGAGCCCAGAAGGCGACAGCAGCTCAGGGAGCAAGCACACCGTCCTCTGGGTCTCCATCCCCTGTCACCGTTGATGGCAGCTGTGCCACAGCAGGTGCTTAAGCAACACTCCAGAATTAGACTGTTGGCATTAGTACAGTAGATCTGCATTTCCTTCAGACTGGTAGACTTTGGTCTTGGGTACGAAGCTTCCATCAGCCCCAAAGCCAACTCCACAATCATATTCCTACGGACTGCCTCTCACAGCGATGCACGTTTTGCTTTCATGGAAGCTAATTGCCTGTAACATCAGGGCAGCAGGAACCTCAATGTAGGCACTGCCCACAAATGGACAGCATGAACTTGGGGTCCAGTGAAATTCCCCTAGCTTTCCCTTATCTCCAAAACCATACATTTACAGCTGACGCACCAGGCGTTGAGGGGAGACGGGCTCACTTGATGCCGGAAAGTAGGACACAGACGCTGTCACTACGGGATCATTGTGCACGCTCTGCTGGGCGCGAGGACACTTCTGGGGTCAGTATTGTGGAGCAGCAGGTGAAGCCCCTGCCTGCAGGGCTGGAGTCTCATGCGGGTGCCAGTTCAAGTCCCATGTGCTTGGGAAAGCAGCAACAGATAGCCCAAGTCCATGGGCCCCTGCCACCCACAGGGGACAGCCAGGTGAAGCCTTAGCCACAATGTTGTGGCCATGTGCTTGTGAACCAGTAAATGGAAGATCTCCCTCTCTGCCTCTTTCTCTCTCTGTCTTTCAAATAAATATACCTTTATGTATCTAAGGACTGAAGGCATACGTAACACAGCAATGCAGATTTATGGAGGGGAAGCTGCCATGGCTGCTTCAGTCCCAGGAAAGACTGGGAGAAGGTTCATGAACAAGTGTGCCAGGCTCGGCCACCCCCTGCCCGCCTGCAAGAGCCTCCAGGAACGCTCAGGGGTCAGGCGTTGCCATCTCCGTTTTTAAAATAGCCAGGGCCATTAGGCCACTGTGCGTGCCGCAGGACCAGCTCTCACTTTGTGGCAAGTTCTTCCAGGCAAATGCTGCAGACAGCGGAGTTCTGGGGGTAGGGAGCTCGTGTCCTCCCTCACAAGCCGACCTCTGACACATCACAAGCAGCGGGTGCCCCTGCCTGGTGCTCCTTCTGGGGCATCTCCTTTGGCTCCTCATTTGCCTAATTGCCCTGCTGGGCTGGCAGGCCTGGCCCCTGCAGTCCTGGCTCTGCCGACTGTGGAGACCCCACCTGGCACGCTGCGTAGGTGCGTCAGCAAGCTGGGTTGCAATGAATGAAAAATCAATGAGGATGAGTGCGGAGGCTGCATGCGCAAGTCCAACCTAGTTTGTCCCGAATTTGCAACTACTTACATAGATCACACGGTGTGTAAGATGGTAAGTGAATGCAACGGTGAGCTGTTTCTGCTGAATTAGGCTGTGTGTGTGTGTGTGTGTGTGTGTGTGTGGTTCTCCCTTTAGAACAAGCAAATCTAACCTGCTTAGGGAAGGCACATGTACAATGAATGATGATGGTGGCAGGGTTCATGCAGAAATTCCTTATTTGCCACGGTTTAAAATCCAGTTCCTAATTTAGATGATAAATATTCCTACTGCTCTGCTCAACTTGGGAGGTTTCACGTTTTGAAGTGTCCAGCAATGTCCTTGCCACGCGTCTCTGGAACTTGCTGCGACTCCGTATTGCTGAAACCACACTGTTTGAAACTTCAGGATTTACGCCTCTGCACAGACAGAGTTAAACACTGTTTGGACTCTGGCTGCAGCAGGGGGACCGGCATCCTTCAAAGCTGGCTCTCCGAGGCGGCTGCAGGAACTCCCCGAGCAGATTGGGTTAAGTGTTATACAGACCCATTCTCTGATGCTAAGGCGGTAAGGTGTCGTGCAGTGCAACGCTCCGGCTGGCTGGCTGGCTCACGCGTCTTTCTGTGTGCCATGCTTTTGCAGTGAGGAAGACTCTGGGAGCTGTGAGGATGAAGGCTTTACTCCTTCTGGTGCTGACTTCCATCTGCTGGGCTGACCATCTGTCGGACAAGTACACCCTGGGTCGGGACAGAGTGATTCACATACAAGGTAAGAGAACAGCCTCTTAGCAAAGGTGGTCCGTGCCGTGAGCCTGGGAGCAGAGATGCCGGGCTGAGACTTGGCGATGGCTCTGCTGTGCTGCCTCTCCCTCTGCCCTTCTGCTCTCCCTGACTTTCTGAACACTGTTATGTTACAGTCGGCTTGGGAATGTCCGGCTGCAGTGAACTGGTGTAGGACAGTTGCTCCCCTTCAGTAGAAGGGGGGTGCACAGAATTGAATTCAATGCCAGGCGGAGGGAAAAATAGAAAGCAAAATTTTGTAAAGGTCATTCTGTTAGAGGAACTGAATAATCATTAAGGATGCAAATCAAGTGAAAATCCAATGATCCTGGTCCAGGAAGAAGTAACTTACCCTAGTCTCAGCTCTTTCAGCAAAACTCTAGTTGGCACAGAGCAGGCTGCCTTGCCTCTGCGGATTTCTGCCAGCTCAGCTGAGTCCTGAGCCCCGAGTGCAGCAGGCAGATTTGAGCTGCAGTGTGATGCAGCTGCTTCCTGCACCCGGCTCCAGAGGAGGGACAGCCTGCAGGAAGCAAGCTAAGGGACTTATGCAATAAGAAAATCCAATTCTAAGAGAGCTGAAGCGTGTCCCCTTGCCCTTGAATGCTGAGTCATTAAAGTGAGAACTGCAGGGCTTCCTCAACTGATGCTATCAGCTTTAGACCAACTCACTAGGGGGACCAGAGGCATTGGAAAGTTTGCAGAGACATAAAAAGTTCCGTCTTCAAGGTCAAAAGTATAGTCTCAGAAGATGGCATTCGCTGGGTGGTGTGGCTTACGAAGGGCAAGTCATTGTGGGAAACGGGCCGAGCGTCCTTGTCATGGGTGACTAGTAAAACGGCACTGGATTTGTCCAGCGATTTTAGACACATCTTTCAATTACTTCTGCTCCCAGCAAATTTATTTTTTCGACTGTGAAATCATGGAAGGAAATTATAAAGTAAGTTGTACTGTGCATGCTGTGCTTGATTCAGCTGCTTTTTAATGTATACAGAAGAATGAAATGTGTTCTCCTAAGGTGCTATTTACAGAGCTTTCTAATGAAGAACTGCATTTTAACTTCTAGTCACAGAATTCAAGTCAGCTGAAACAATAACACCTAGTCATTGGGACCAATACGCCAGTGTTCACTTTTTCACTCCAATACAACATGAACTTGGACTGTGGTTGTCACGAGCTCACACATGTTTAGCTAAACCATTGCACCTGAGCCTGGACATGCTATTGTGAAAACAGAAATTACTCTGAAAGTCAGCCTCAAGTTAACTCAGGAAGAGGCACCTGCTTCTCCAGCAGCCCCCTCCCCAGGGACTGGGCACATGCTGGGCAGAGGGCCTGCTGACCGTAGCTGTCAGAAAGCTTTTTGCATACGCTGCAACGTGCATCCATTGTCCATTTTAAAAAAAAATGTGCCTTGATACTACACTTCATTTTAATTGTAAATTCATATTCTTAGAAAGTGTATGCCAGCTTCGAAAAGACGCACAGCGCTCTTAAGTCATAGCGCTACAAGACCTACATGTGATTTGTGAAAATTTATACCGAGCTGTGATTTGGCCTAGGGATTAAGTTGGATCTGTGTCAGGATTTATTATGAAATTATTCCAAATACCTACTCTCATTTTCTTTCCCCAAATAACTTTTCTCCCTTGCAATACAGAGAGTTTTCAAATGCCTTGGTCCCTTGGCAAAACCCCCTCTTGGTGGCCGGCCCTAATTTCAGGCATCCCCTGCTCCGCACACATGTACCCCACAGCACAGCACGGCGCCTTCGTGACTGACGGGAAGTGGGGGACTGTTTGCTCCCTGAACGCTTTAATAAACAGGCCTGGGCAGATGGGATGGCAGGGAACTCAACCGTCTGAAAAAGTGCGAGAATGCGGAGTGCCATGATGGAGTAGCTGATCTGAAGCTCAGGTTGCTGAACTGCGCTGATAAGCAGGGCCAGCTCTTCTCCGTGGTACAAAATTCTGCCAAACTCGCTCTGCTGAGAAAGTGCATTTCTGCTGTGTTCCCTGAATGTCTGTGTCTCCAGTGCCAGGGAGGAGAGCACTGTGGCTCCTGCCTGCGCATCAGCTGGTCTTACTTCACCCCTCCTCTAGCTTTCAAAGGGCATAGCTGGTGCAGACACTGGCATCACAATGGTTAATCTGGCTTTTTAAAAAGAAGGCAAATGGCCAGGCAGGAAAATGGTCCCTTCATTCCCTGTGCAAGGCAGCTCCAGTGAAAAGCACTTTCCTGCTGGTAGAATAAAAACCCTCCAGTGTCTCACGGAGAGGCAGGTGTTGGTGGAATTTCACTGCATTCTGAAGCTGTTGGTGTGTGAAGTAGGTTCCACACAAAAGGCAACCTTGTCCACAGGGCTATTGCTGGTGTGTGGTGGAGCTGCGGAAGTGCCTCCTGAGCAGGGAGCTGGAGATCCTGTCCTTCCCTGGGAAGAGAGGCTGCTGGGGGGGGCTGCTGTCTGACGCCGGCAGCCAGGTGGGTGACACGGACCCGAGCACTGGAGCAGGTGGCAGCAGCTCGCAGGTGCACTGAGAGTCACCAAGACCCAAACTGGCTCGCCGATCTGGGATGCAGGAGTATCGAGTAGTGCCTTAACCTGCTGTGCCCCATGGCCCACACCACAAGCGGAAATCTTGCAAGTGAAGATTGTGTCTTTCTATGTTATTAACTAAAATGTATTGCCATCATCCTCAAAAGATAAAGCAATTCGATTTTTAAGAATCATTTGTTGAAAGTCAAAGGTAGAGACGCAGAGAGCGCTGAGTGAATGTGAACTAGACGCCTCCTGCTGTCTGTTGGCACACTCGAAATCCTGCTTCCCAGAAGCCAGAAGGACTCAAGTCCAGGTCATCCAGCTCATTCTACAGACAAGGACATCAAGGCCAAGGACTAGCCAACTGGCCCCCAGCAGGTGTTCAGGGCCTGTTTGCAAAATCCCAGGACGAAGATTCCATTATTTCTCCTGCTTAAGTCCTAATCGATTCTGTCCACATCCAGGGTAACCCTAACATGCTGAGGGAGGAGCAGCAGGGGAGTGAGCCCGCTGTGAGTCTGGGCAATGAATTCTGTTGGACCCCAGCCCGCCTCCCATCCCTGTGTTGTACTCGACGGGGGTGCACAGCTGCCAGATGCAGCAACACTCCCGACACGTGTGTGCTGGGCAGCGTGTTCCCACACTGCTGTCCTGTCCCTTATGTAACATGGCAGCATTCAGGGATGGTGGTACAGAGTGGATGGAAAGCAAGGCATGTGCTTAATAACGTATAACCATGAACCACAGACACAGCCGAAGTCTGATGGGAGAGTGTAAGTGTTACACAAGCGTAGATTGCTCTCCTGAACCTAAAATCTGCTGGAACTCAGACTGTTACACAGTCAGCTTGGTCTTGCCTCGGTCTTTCAGAAACAGGGCATACTACGTGATATAAAACTGCCAAGTGCAACAAAATGAAGGAAATACTCCCAAATGTTTTCCAAGTTATATTTAGATAAATACATATTTAAAACAGTAATTTTATCTAGAAATTGGTGGGCATAAAATATCAGAGAAAGAACATGGAGTTAAGTATGCACGTCAGTATGTAAGAATGTTACCGTACATATGCCCACAGATAGCTCATCCACTCAGCAAATGTGCTGACACCGAGGAAACAGGACAGCATGGACACAGTGGATTCAGTGCTACCACATATGGTAGCTAGCAGACAGAATCTGTGTGTGCCTAGGGCCACTCACTACAACAAAGTCTGTGTTTCACATTAACTTTGCTTCCGGCACTAGCATGAATATTGCTAGCCCTTATCCCGGCCCTCTTTATGCTTGGGTATTCTTTGAAGAAACCCACTCATTCTGACCTCTCCTGAACCTTGGCCATCTCCGTGTGAAACACTGGCCAACGTCTGAGGAAAGACAGACGTGTCTCCCACGAGCTTACTGACAGTGCTGCCAAAGCAGCGCCCAGGTCATCAACGGAGGAAACCAGGGAAGGGTACCAAGTCCCCAACCTGGAGCTCTTCGTGCAGAGCTCCGTATCTGCACTTGCTACACTGCCATCGCCTACTGACGTCTGAAGAGCGTATCTGAAGGATGTTTCTAGATGGAAGACTGAATAATTTAGAAGGCTAAGTCCTTCTAAGGCTAAATTCTGTCATTTCTGTAAATTATCCATTAACACAGTGCAGTTTTGCATTTTCAGTTAAAATAGCCTGTATTTAATCATCTTTTCAGTAGCAACAAATCCACGCTGAAGGACCATTGCTTTTGCGGGCAGCCCGAGTGCTGCAGCCCACGGAGTCGCAACAAGTCAACTATTACATTTCGAAACTCTGCCAACGACTCAGAAGACCCCTTCGGTGGAAGCCCTCCCATTGTTCCCCGCTTTCCAGTACCAACGTGACTCAGCTAATGCTGCAATAGATTGCTATACTATTTCTTACTGAAGAGAAAGCGTGGATTTACCAAACACTTAGAAATAGTAGATTGAATAGTTTGATTCTTATTTTTATTTTATTGAGTTGTGAGAGAGAGAAAAGGGGCTCCCTTCTACTCATTCCCTCCGCAAATGCAGATGGCAATTGCGTGTGAGAGATGCCATGGACAGAAACTGGCAGAATTTTGTTCCAGGCTTCTCAGGTGGGATCCAAAGCAACACTGCGCCTGTCCTTCCAAAATCCACCACTGCAGGTGAGCCACCCTAGGAACTCAGCTTCCTAGGAACTGTCCTTGGAAGCTGTAGGGAACAGTGTGTGCGATGATGGAAGAGTCAACAGCACCTGTGTGCTCAGCGCCAGCCAGGCTCTAGGCTAAGGTGTCAGTGTGTGTCCCCTCATCTAAGCCACACAAGAACCCTAAAATGGTGGCAGCTTGTCTGCTTTTTATTGGTGAAGAAACTGAGGCCTAGACCAATAAACCAATGAGAAGAGGAGTGGAAGGGTCGTGTCAGTGGAAAGGCAATGGTCCCCATGGGAGCTCAGCAGCAGCCTGGAG